GCGGAACAAGGAAAAGCCTCGCGCGCGCCTCGCAGCTCGCTGCCGTTTCTGCGTTTCCGGCCTCGCTCTTTCAGAGAAACACTTAAGAAGACTTAGTTGTCTGTTTGTTTGTTTGTTTGTTTTCTGGGCCGCTACCAAAAAGAGTTTTAATGGACTTTATAAAACACTGAGTGCCTCAGCCTCAGCCTCAGCCTCAGCTTAGAACTCGTTTTGTATGTGCTCAAAGACTAGAAAGGTAAAGGAATATACTGTAGACTGGGTAAAGGGTAAATGTAATATAGACTACATAAAGAATATAGTATGACGGGAATAAAGATTCCTGTCATACTGTAGAGAGATCAGGGTTTTCCCAACCCCATTCTTGAGGAGCCCCAATCCAAAAACACCCTGGTTACCCTGAATCTCACCTGTTTCAAATAAGCATGTTGCTTGCTTAATTAAGGAAGCCCTAATCCCTGAAGTGTTCAGATGTCCTCTCTGTCACCAGCTTGATGGATCAACATCAAATGGCTCAGAGGCCTTTAGAAAGGCCTCTTTTGTAGCGGTTACGTAGGAAAGCCCCTGGATTTGGGGATCCCCCAAGGGCCAAGTGTTGCCCCGATCTAGATTGTAATAGGGTTAGAAAGCACTGTGGAAGCATTAAATGGTATCGCAGGCAGGTAGTAAAAAAGTAAAAGCCAGTTTATAAGGTATAGATGTTTAGTGATCATACAAAATTGGCTACACATCCAAAACTCTGCTCGCAAAATGCATTTTTTTCCCCCAAGCAGGCTTAAGTCGGAGCTGTTCTTTGAGACAAAAAAAAATGAGACGGGACAGAATGAACTGGGGGGGAGGAAAAAGCTTTCTGCAGGTGCTTGTGGTCCCCGTAGGTGCCGGTCTTGAAATTTGCACATGCGAGTCCACCTGCAGTGAATTCTCAATGCCTGTGATTGGAGACCCGTCGGAGGTGGAGTTTAAGGAGCCCGATCTGCTGCTCGTCTGCATTCAAAACCTTCCTCGCAACTTTTGTGAAATTATTTCATGCAATTAGCCTGCGTAATAGGGCTTTGTTGAGGAATGATGGTATACATTTCTCTGTAGTCTAGGTCACAATAAGGCTCAAACCTCCTGTATAACTGGCCCAAAGATCTCATAGTCACCTCTTGAAGGAAGGTAGGGTATTGGCTTCTCAATCACGGTTGAGTAGGTTGTTCCAAACTTTCACAACCCTTTATTTAGGAAAGTGCCCCTGCTCTCAGTTGTCGGTATGACCTTTATCTAACCTTATCTAGGTTACAAGGTGCAATGGTGGGGTCTGTCACAGAATAAATGCTCCCAGTGTGAGCATTAAGAACAAATCAGTTAGGTCTTCAACCAATTCTAATGCTGCGGTGAAATACTGTGCCTATATTTGGCTCATCAGTTAACACTGATCTGCGACGCAGACATGTTTAGGCATCTTCCACGTTAGAGCGGTCAGTTCAGACAAGAGGGGGCAGTGCATCATGGACATGAATATTATTTCTTCCCTCTCCCGCGGCCTTGTCATTGGCCGAGCTGCGCAGAATGAAGTCACAGCGAGAATCCGAGGACAGTTCTTCCACACTTATCTGGGCTCATTAGTGTGACCTCGCTAGCTTTATGCTAGCTCAGACTCGATCCTAACAGGGTGCTCAGCGCACAGATGTGTAAATAAGCCTGTATCATTGGTCAAGGGCAGACATGTGTGGCTGGAGAGCTCTAATAAGAGCGAAGCTGCTGCCAATTTTCACTTTATGGGAGTAAAAAAAGTGGAAAGAGACAGTGTATGAAGTTCCACCTCCTATGGCTTTATGGATTGAACAAAACAATTTGTAGCAATGCTACACCTCATTAAAGCAGCCCTGGCAATATTCGACATGAATACATGACTCCCAAAGGAGGTTCCACAGCTGAAACGTTGTGTCTTTTCCTTTCAGTGTGGAATAAACCTTTACCTGTTCCTTTGCAGCCAACGCATGCTGACACAGCCCCCTACTTGAACTACTGTGAATATTATACTCCCTTTACAGCAGTTCCCCAAAGTAAACGCCTGTTCCCAAGGCCCTGCAAGAGGAACCCCGACACTAAACCACAGCAAACTGACTACAGGCACCTTTCAGAAGCGCATCATCATGGATATCGAAACCATGTTGAATGTCCGCGACTGACCACAGCGTGCGCTTCCCAGATTGACTCGTGTGTGATTTGAGATGATAAAAATTGAAACCGAGATCCGCCGCCAATCGCAGCCATCCAGGGCCATGCACTGAGGTGTGCCAGAACAGCTCTTGGCTACCATTTTAAATCGAGAGCTGCTTTGCAACTTCGGCACCAGCAGATGGTGTTTTGACAGTCCTGTGTGAAATTGATTAGCCTGCCCACCAGCCCATCGCTTTAATCGAAGTGCTAAGTCACATTCATACCAGCTCGGCCTCGGTGTCTGCCTGCTGCAGATGGGTTTCCTGAAAGCACAGTGCACCTGCTTCCGCGCCAGACCACTTTCACAGAGCAACCGGGATGGCAAACAGACTCCCAGGGCACGGCAGCTTGGTCCGTTTCTGACTGCACAAGCGTCAGGCCCTCATTGCAGATCTGGTTATTAAATTGCGCTGACACAGCAAAAAGATAAAAGATGGTTACAGATTGGAGTGGCTGGCAAAAGTAGTCAGCCTTCAGGCTAAGTTACCTGAATACACTAAGAACACCCTCACTACCTCTTGCAAGGAATAATAATAATAATTGCTTACACTTATATAGCACTTTTCTGGACACTCCACTCAAAGCGCTTTACAGGTAATGGGGATCCCCTCCACCATCACCAATGTGCAGCCCCACCTGGATGATGCGACGGCAGCCATTGTGCACCAGAACGCTCCCCACACACCAGCTATCAGTGGGGAGGAGAGCAGAGTAATGAAGTCAATTCATAGATGGGGATTATTAGGAGGCCATGATTGGTAAGGGGCAATGGGAAATTTGGCCAAGACACCAGGGTTACACCCCTAGAAGAGTATATATTGAACAAAATTAGGAAATTCAAGAATAGAGTGACACAGTTATTACACTTGATAGTGAATAATATTGCTTCCTTTATTATGCATCTCTGCTTAGGCGTTTTTTTTTTTTAATCTCCTGTAGCTCAATCAAATCATTCTAGGTTTGGTTTGAAATGGGAGCTCTGGGTCAATCACGACCGTTTACAGTGATGTAGCTCTGCCCCCGTGTGGTCATTGTCGGCATCCCTCCCCCCCCCCAGTTTCTCACATGATTTTCCTTGGTCGTGGAATCCCGCCACCGCACGTGCATGCCCCACGTCCTTTCACGAACACAGGCCGGTCTCGCGGAAATTCGGAAATTCTCTCCCGTCTTGATCGCCTCCTTTTCCACAGTGTTTAGAACCCGCGTTTCCAGTACCCACACCTGTGCGAGGTGTACTGGCTGTACACAAATCCTATCCGAAAGGCACCCAAGAAAAAGAGAAATACCATGCAAATAGTCTGTCAGTCAGTCAGGTGCCTGATAGGCTTGCTCCATGGCCCATCGTCCGGATAGACATGTTTTTAGTGTTATACTTTTTTTGTACAGCGTTGAAGAAAAAAATACCGGTATGAAACAATGGAGGAAAACCAAACCGTGTTTACATTTCCACAGTGCCCCGAGATCGCATTTCCTGCTTTTCTGCATATGCAGGCGTTGAGAGAATTGTGTACTGTTGACTCAGAGGTTTTATATCGTGACCCGAGGCCAGATTAAATCAGAGAGCTCTTCATCCCCGCCCGTTTCTCGGGCAGCACCTTTACGCCGTGAGGTCTTAAACAGCCCCGGGGCTGGCTCAAAGACTGACATTACCTCTAATGAATGAACTCGGCTGTTTGTTGATGTGTTCTTGTTTTGTTGTTGTTTTTTTTAAGGCTCGCTTTAATGGCAGTAATAATGAACCGCTAATGGAATTATCCGCACGCGGGCACAGCCTCGCTCCGGCATGAATCACACGCCGTGCGCGCGCTCGCTAATTGCCAGCTCATTAGGGCCGGCCGGCCGCCCGCCTGCCCGCGAGTCAGCGCGCGAAAGCGGACCGGTGGGGGACAAATACCGTCCTCCGATCAACACCACCAGCGAGGAAAGAAGCAAGAGACGTCTGTGCTCTTTTCATCCCGTCTTCACCTCCTCATCAAGGGCGATGTGCCATTACCGAAGTGATCGTTCAACTCCATTCAATGTATCTGTATAGCGCCTTTCACAACAAGGTTGCCCTAAGGCGCAGGATCGTTCTAAGAAAGAAAGCAGACCTGTCCTTTCTAATGTGTACTGTATATGCACAATATCTGGTAGAGTAGTGTTAGCGACACGTCCCTCGGCAGGAAAACGGACGCAATGTTATTAGGACGCGAACACTGCGCTTGTACAATGGCGGGGGCTCGTATCCGCACCCACAGGTGGTGGAGTATTGGGAGAGGGGTTAGTTCCCAACACAGCGGCCCCTGCAGAGAGATGAGATGACGTGTAGATGCCGGCCAGCCGCAGTGGGGTTTCCAGAAGTTAAAGAGCATCTCCGGGTTTCCCACAAGAGAGGGACACCCTTGTAACGTAATGATCCGCACCCACCCATCACTGGTTATTTATCGGCTTACCGTCCGTCTTCCCTCACCCCCCAAGATGAAAAACTGCACGGTTATAGGTGGGGGTAAATTAAAAAAAAAACACACCCAGCGCAGAAATCATCAGTGTAATACCGCGCTTAATTACACTTCCCTGTAATCCGAAAAAACTCCACATTCATTGCAGTGTACACATCCCCATCCGCGCTAATCGCACACCGGGGAGCGGCTACACACCGCGGTGTCAGTGCGTCAGTTTGACGATCTAACCACATCTACTATTAAAAAAAAATGTACACAAAGATTAACCTTCACTCGAAACGCCAGGAAAGGCAGAAGAGATTATAACAACAGATTCCTCCGGGGGGTTAAGAAAGATTCGGCAGAGTGTAAACTCACTTAACGGTCTGTTCTCAAACCTCAGGCTGTGTGACTCCTCAGGGGTTCAACAGGTAAGACCCAGCCGCCTCTGGCTTCCGTGTGCTCCGGCAACTCAGGCGCCCAGCAGAGATTCTGCCCTTTCAGTTCAGTTGCGGTAGAATCGCCCCTTTTTTTCTCTACACCCCAGACACCACCTGATTGATAACACCAGCCCCCGCGCGGCAATTAAGAAAAGCTCGTTTACGTTGGGACGTGACACTTCCCCCAGCGGTCTAAGCGATGTTGCTGATCTACAGTAGCTCTCTTTTTAGCTGCCCTCCGGACTCATCCCACAGGACGCCCGACTCTTGCAGCCTGCCCGCTTGCTGGCGCCCGCTGCCCCCGAGCTGAGCTCAGATATTTGCCTGAACCCTTGATCGAGCTCATATGTTGCTGAAGTGGAACCTTTATCAACGCATCGACCCTTAAAGGTTGTGAATGCTAATGACGAGGGTAGAAGGGATGGTGACGTGCGAGGATGCCATCGGTTTTAATTTGGGTTTATCGGTAGATGCAAGAAGTCTTGAAAGGTAGAGGGGAGCATTCGACGTCTTCAGCCGACATGAGAGAGTAAGTGGATAATTGATCTGAGGTTTTCATCCAGCTGCTTCTTCATTGAAACCAGGTTATTGGCTAAAACAACACGGCGGGGCAGCTTGATGCACCCCCCCCACCACGCTTTGTGTAAAGAAGTGATTTCCCTTCCTGGTTTTAAATGCACTTCCTCTCTGGTTTCTGACCCCTCTCTCTACCCCCCACGTGCCCGGGAGCGCCTCCGTGAGCGAGCCTGCAGCCCAGTACACGTGACTAAGATAAAACGTTTTTTTGTCTTTGAAACGGCTACTATTGTAAGCTTAGGGTCTGTTAGTGTTGTTTTATGGAGTTAAGAAGTTTCAAATATTTTCAGTTCTACAGAAAGGAAGAGAGGCAGCGTGAACGTTCAGCTACAAACTGTAAAAAGAATATTCGTCTCCATCCAGTTCCCGTCCGTACAGGCGGGGTGTTGAACCACCGTCGCGCCAACCCGCGACGAACTCTATTACTTAGACAACTGCGGCGACGCGAACATGCCTACTGCTGTCTTCGCCGTCTGCAGGGCTAAATACTGCTCGTCACGCTCTTGCAAAATTAGAGGACTTCGAGGTGCCGTTGATCAACGCTGCAGTATATCAAGACATTGGTTAATTTTTTTTAACCTCCCAAAATGTTGCATGCAGGCATTGTATTTTAGAAACAGGACTCGGGCGTCACTGGCACCGTTCTCGAAAATGGAGATAAAAGACGATGCTCCTCCCGCCCCTCATTTTCACACAACCCGACGACCCAATAAAAAGGACCTTACAACCCACCTTTCGCACGAAAGGCACGTCACACCCCTGAAGATTAACGCGATCTTTATTGAACGGAATGTCTGGCAAACCGGAAGCAGCGCAGGAAGCTGTGGGAGACGTCACCTTTGAGCCGCCAGGGCCCGCCTCTGTGCGCATGCTTGGAAGCCGCAGAACGGACTGCGTTCCCAAAGAGCTCATGTCCTGTTTTACTGGGAACAGTGTTCCTGGTCCGAGTCTCCTTCCAGCCAGGGCTCTCGTCTTTCACCGGGCACTAGGGACCCCAGGATTGGTACGCTGTCGTCCAGGAGCACCAGGGTCAAAGTGCATACTGTCGGGGACACCAGTGGGTGCTGGGAAACAGCAGACAGTGGATTGTCTTGAACCTGGAATTATGACAGGATACACGGTTAAACATCCATTTCCCTGATTTCTGTCAAACGTTTGCACAGAACATAGCAGTCTTACGAACCTATTAAATTTGCAAAGTGACAGAGCGGAGTATCAGTGCAATTGTATTTTCAGTCGATGTCCATCACTTCAGTTACAGTATAGAGATATTGTTTGCATTTATCTTCAAATTCTGCTTTACAATCTATAATAAAAGAATGATGTATTTACAGCTTGCTGTGTATTCAACAAAGAAGGCTAATTTATTCCTCTCCTTTGGTTTTCAACGCAATCCTGAGCTGAATAAACCTCAGCTTGTCTTTCAGAGTATTGAAACCTCAGAACTGACACCTTGACTCAGTCTGGTCCAATTTCAGGTGCTCGGTAGCTTGTACTGATCAGTTCACGGTGTGCTGGCTGGTTTTATTCATCACTTGTAAATAATCCAACATCTGTAAAACATCAAACAAAAGTGCTGATCCGATCCATTTGCAAGATCGAACCCAGACGTTGGCCACCACTACTCACTACCCCTTGAGGTCTGGAAGGTGATCAGGGTTGTTCAATTAATTAACCAGGTGGAATCATCCAGACGCAGTTGTTCCAGACCATTAAGGAACGTGGGATTATGAATTCCGCCGGGATTGTTGCTACCCTCCACTGTCCTGTGTATGTGGCTTACTGGTGGTCTGATCAGACCCTGCGTTCAGCACACATGCCTCAAGTTCTGTTCACGACAGGCCCGGGGAATCAGCCAATCGTAACCCTGTGAAACAGCCATGTGACTTCCTTTCAGCAAACGCGCTGCTCACAGTGTGGCGGACGGTCTGGATCTTTAACCTGGGCGCGGGCCTTAACAGACAGAGCATCTGGAGCAGCTGAAGGCTGGTCTCGGAGAGCAGGCATGGGGGCTGCAGCGTTGCGCGATGCTTGTCGGTGCATTACAGGAGCAGGTCAGAAACCATTCCTATCCAGACGAGCTTGAAATGTCCATCCCATGAACTCTCTTACCAATCCTGCCAAGACTAGGTGGGCTTCAGTTATCCTGGATATCTTAGAACTGTGCAGCAGTACTGCCTACAGCATCTTGAAGCAATGCCCCGTTCTCCCAAAACCCTTTTGTAAACCAGGACTTCGTGCAAGAGGTCCTTATTCTCCCTCGGGGGCTGTAGTAATAGGCAGTGCTGATGAATTACAGGGGAACACAGCTAGAAAAATGAGTGCCCGACCAGTTGTTGTAAAAACGTGAGGGGATAAGCAATGACAAATGATACAGGTGTGTTACTCTGACAGATGAAGCAACATGTGGACAGGTTTCCCTGCAGTGGAAATTGAAGTGGCATTGTTTGACCACTAGGTGATGCTCTGACACACACACACACACTGACCTGGAAGGGTCGGTGTCTTTTGAAAAGACTCCCTTCAGCTCCACGCTGTTCAGCTTGTTCTCAAAGATCCCATAGCTGAGAGTCACCTGCACACAAACACACTCAAGTTAACGAGACACACCATACTGCAAATGCACTTAGGCTACGATGCAGAGAAAGCACAGGTCCAGCATCGTAGCTGCACTGTCATAGCAAAGGAGACATATGTGTTCGCACAGTTGGGCTAACTGGAACCATATAGTTCATCATAAAGTAGTCATTCGAAAAATATGTGCTCTGGTATAGCCAACACATTCAATGGCGCCCTGCTCTAATCAGCATGCAGTCAGTGGGTACAGGGTGTCAGACAGGATGCTGTCACCAACCTGCCAGGGTATCTGCTGTGGGGTGATGAGCAGGAGGTTCTCCAGGTGCGAGTGGAAGAGGGGGCTGTGGACCAGGGGGACCCCCAGCTTCCGCTCCACGATGAAGCCCACGGTGCAGTCGTCGGGCAGCCGGATCGCGGCCGAGGACTGCTCGAACCGGGGGCCGCTGTGCCACGGGAGACACGGGGGTAAAGAAAAAGCAGGGCGTCAGCATCGAGAGCATGCTTGTCCGGCCCACGGAGAGGAGAGTTGAGCTTGGGAACGTTGCTGGAAAAGATACGGCCACGAGAGGCCAGGTGATACAAGACCTCATCCCGGGCCGACCTGGGCAGAGCACGCGCACAGGCGAAAGTGGGGGAAACAGGGCTGGAGAGACTTCCCACGCAAGCTCCGAGATCTCACACAGACACTTGCAGGAGCTCTGCACTGGGGGGGGGGGGGACACACCCCGATTCCTACAAAACAGCGGGTCTTGGTCCACTCTCTCTGCTCCTCCTAGACCTCACTGCACAAATATAACTCTCATTCAAGATCGCAGGAGACCTAGAAAAACAGGATTCTGGCCTCGGAAGACTGGAGCGGGAGCCACATTTTCAGTGCGGCCCAAGAAATCCGGCATGGGCAGAGGAAATCGGGGTGAGGGAGCTAAGCCCCCCGGCTCCCACACCTTCCCCTGATTCGACCCGGCCCCTTACCTCGCCCAGGGTGCCATCTTCTCCGCCAGTCTGCGGCTCAAGCAGAACCCAGCCCCGCCGGTCGCAAACCAGAAACGCACCTCTCTCTGCAACAGAGGAGAGAGGATGCAGGGGGTTTATTCCTTAGGATACCAGACGTTGACACCAGACTGGTGTCTCATGCAGGGCTGCTGGATTTCCAGTCCCCTCTGTGCTCATACAGTGAGCAGGACACCAAGTTCTAGTCCTACCAATCGTGTACATCAGCAAAAGCGTACCCCAAATCAAGCATGTTGCAATACTTATTTCAGAAAACAGACATTAAATAGCAAAACCTTTAGATAAAACTTAATCAAATGGATCTGATATTCACTGCCCTTCCCTGATTACATACACTGATTATCCCTGCTTATCACTGCTTTATTGAAAAAGGTACAGACTTCATGAAATAGAGCAGGCCTTCTTTGAGAGAATTCTACTCTAACAAATGGCTACAAAGTTATTTGCATGACCTTAACGTCTATTTACAGGGGAGCTAGGCACTTCTGCCAAGTCTGCAAAAACGCATACAAAGAAAACTGCTTGCATTCGTGCAGATTTAGCAGAGAAATGAATTATGCATATAACGGGCCCAGATGAAATAAGCTGCGATAATGACCAAGTCTCGAATGGTTCGTGCAGGGGGTGGTTTTTGTCAGGACCCCGTTACTGGCTCTTGAAGTCTGAATTGGTCGCAATGGAGTTTGTGAGGGCGGCTCGTTGTCATTGTCCATTTTTGTGTGGGTGGCAACTTGAATCTGCCAGGATGGTTACAGGCCGGCAGGGAGGATTCCCCCAGGAGGAAAGGAGATGGAGAATGCGGACACAGGGGCCCCGAGACACACCGTCTTGTTGTCGTCCAGCTGCTCGAAGGCCCTGATCGGCCGGTCCAGGCTGGGCTTGCCGATGTAGACATCGCTGTCGCGCGGGAAGGCCGACAGGACGGCCAGGAGCGCGGAGGGGTTGACGTAGTTGTCGTCGTCCACGTGACAGAACCACCTGCGCCCCAAAACACATAATAACACTGTTATTATAACAATAACAATAATAAAAAGAATAAATTGCTTATACTTCTATAGTGCTTTTCTGGACACTCCACTCGAAGTGCTTTACAGGTAACGGGGAATCCCACTACCAACACCAATGTGCAGCCCCCACCTGGATGACGGCAGCTACAGCGCGCGCTATTGTGGGAGCCTTGCTCTTCATCGCCTTCTGAAGCTTCAGAAACCCTAGTCCTCAGCACCGATTTCCAAATCTGCTGATACTATCATCTTCACAAGGCCCTGCGTTTCTGGTGCTCATTACCTCCCGAGTGTAACACATTGCACAAAACTGTGCTGTCTTTACTAAGCACACCTGAGGGGCTTCCCAGACTTACAAAACCCTTATTAAAAGCCTTCATCACTGGTTTCAGCTGAAGGGCTGCAGCCCTCAGGGGAAGCCTTCTCTTCCTCATTACAGAGATCTGGAAAGTCCATAAATTGACTGCAGAGTTGCTGGAAATAAACCAGTATCTATAGCTCTATATTATATTAGAGACGCATCAGCAAGTCTCCGTAACTCCTGGCAAGTTTTAAAAGCAAGTATCACGCCAGTCTTCCGCAGCGCTGTCTGTAATGAAAGGAACTTATAGTGAAGTATACGGGCGACGCGTACAATATAGAAGCAGATCTCTCTTTGCCTACTTATTATGCGTGACACAACTCCAAAAACAATCATCACTGCTGCTCAGAAGCGATTGGGTTTTTAAAACGTGTGGCGCTGTGCTCTGGGTCTGGGGGGGAGGTTAGAGGTGGTGTCAGAGGGCGGGGATCGGGATTGCGTGCGATGTGGCGTGGAGATTCTTGGAACGGCAGATATCGGTCTTCCGAGCGGATGAGATGGCAGTGCTGGCTACCCATCCTGCGGCGGGCTGGAGAAACGGGACTTACTTTTTGTCGGAGGACATGAAGGCGTCGTACTCCGCCGTCATCTTGCAAGACAGGGCCTGGCGACTGTGTTCCGAGGAGCAGTTGGTGATCACCGCATTATAACCTTTAGACAGAAATCATCTGGGGTTAGAACCAGAGCCAAGCGCCTGTAACCCCTATGCACCATTACACCTTTACCCCCGACTGCTGACACATGAGTAAGACTACTGCCTTGTGTGTATTGTGGCATTGAAAACTCACAGGTCACAGAAGACTTTCCACAGTGCAGGAGGACCTGAAAGCACTGGCTGGGAGTTTGAGCGTGACCTGAATAGCACAGGCCAGGCCCCAAGTCTGAACACACTCGGGGGACTGTGTCTGGTTGGCCTACATTCGGTCTGTAAAAAACAGTATATTCTCATTTTTTTTCTCTTTTACTTTTTATTGTATCTTTTGTATTTTCTTTATCCTTAGGTTCATAAAAAAAAGTTAATAAACATAATGACTCTGCTTACAAACACTCCTAATCAGGTAGTATCCCAGCACCCACAAACAAGAAGAGGAGATGAACCCAAGCCCCTCAGTCTCACCTCTCAAGCTTTCGTCTTCACTCCCTTTGTCTGTGAAGATGTATGTCTGCAAAAACAAAATACGATATGTGATGGGGAGCATAGAGCCGCGGTTCATTTGTACTCAAACCAAAAAAACAATACACATGGCTAAAATCCTTCCGGGTTCCCTCCGGAATGTTCCACTGGAAAATAATCAAGGGATCACCCTTTTACTGCAATTTATAATAGCCAGAGAACCCAATTCATAATGGCATTGATACCAGTCCACGTGCAGCAGATCATGCAGAATGGTTCCCCAGACCCCAACACTGCTGTGTGGCACCCCAAGAAGCTGTCGGGGACGTCACTGCTGTGCCCTGAAAACGCTCAGGATTGATGCATTCAACGTGCGCCGTGTTCTCATCTCGGATTCCATCGGCTGGGAAGACCATGTCCCACCGCATGAAGACAAATCACCGATCTCGCGCAGAGTAATTCAAAGAAACCAGGCGAGACAATTTACTAACCGTCAGCCGTTCTACAGGACTACAAAACAGGTCAGAGGTTAAACAAATGAAAAGCGAGGGCTTTTGAGTGTGGTCACCACCCCTGCTTATCACCACAGCCAGAAGGTCGTCCCCTAACCTCTCCCCCAACTCGGGCCATTTCTGACTGGAATTTCCTTGAATTCAAGGAAAAAGGCTGCATGTTGTTACTACCACTAAACATCGTCCAGTATTCCAGAAGGATATGGATCAGTGCCACAAAAAAAAAAAAAGAGACACTGAACTTTCTGGGACCCTGCATCTGACCTCCATTATTAGAATGCATGAAAATTCAATTTTTCAGCAGCTTCTTTCAGGCAGGCCTGCAGTAAGGCTTGTGTATGTGAAGGCCATTTTTCCACTCGGCTGATTGTACAAGGAATGCATGCAGACGTATATCGGAGGCTGTGATCTGGTCTAGTCGTTCAGAGATGCACGTTTGATTTTTACACATGTGTTGGAAGATACTTATGCAATTGGACTGGACAATAAAAGCACAATCAGAGAGAAGGGGGAGCTAGTCAAGGGAAAGTCATGGCCCAGACTCCAGCATCTTTTTGAGGTACAGAATGGAAACCTCCCAAGCCCCTTTCTCTAAAAAGGCTTTAAATCGTTTCAAAATCAGGTAGATCATTGGGGAAAAAAAAAATTCTACCAGGACGCACAGCAGGCTAATGCATGCCCGCAACGTGCTCAGGAGCACAGATGTGCGCCCACGCACACACACGCCCAGGCACGGCGTCACACGTAACAGCACCATGTGCCTGACACTGGCTGGTGGCAGCCGATTCTCAGACCAGCGGCTTTCCAATCGGGCATGTATGGAGGGATCGGGGTGAAACTCATCGGGATACACAAGCCATCCGGGGGGAGGAATGGGAGCAGGCAGAAAATAAAAGATCGGGGCTCTTTGGGAGCAGTGAAGGCAGGAGGATGCAGGCAGGAGGTCAGTTGGTTACCTGTGTAAACAGGAAACCCGGGGGGTATCAGGGCAGAGCCAAATGCGACGTCATTAAATTCCCCTGTTTTTTCCGGCTGCTATTCCTAGCCTCCTTTGTGTTTTCCCGGATGTCCCGGGTTTTCTAGGTCTAGGAATACAGCCTTTACCGGCCAGCGCCGGCATGGCCCTCCTCAAACGATGAGGGTCGGTTAAGCGAGATCACAGCCCTGTAAAAACAACACCGCGACTCGGTTAAACAAAACACGACCGGGCCTCATGAAAACAAACAGCGTTTCATTAGAAGTGGAAGACGAGGGGAGGGGGGGGGGGCACTTGCGATAAGGCAGGGTGCTGTGCGACTCACAGAGAGCCCTGGTGAATCAACACGGGAGCAGGGAACGGGCTCTTTGTTCTGGCCTGAGCTGCAGACTTCCCTTTCACAACGGTTTCCGTTCTCTAACAGGGGTCGGTCTGCGGTGACAACTTCCTCTTGGCACGGCTGCACTTCCTCCAGTCAACCCGAGAATCAAGGAGAACCTCCAACACTGTAGTCACAACTGACACTGCGCTGCTCATCAGTACGCCAGCTACAGTAATGGACTGGATGGACAGTGTAGACCTTTGCACCCTTAAGGATCCCCTGAACACTTTCCCAAATGAAGTGGGACCCTCTTCTGAACTGCAACCCCCGCTGGGAGACACACAGTGATCATTCTGCACCAGCAGCCCCAGCTGGGAGACACACAGTGATCATTCTGCACCAGCAGCCCCAGCTGGGAGACACACAGTGATCATTCTGCACCAG